AAAAAATAGCTCTATTAGTTGATAGAATATGTATTTAGTTTTAATGTAATAAAGAGATTTTCTCAAAAAAATTATTTATTGTAAAGTTCTATTCTTTTTTAAAATATCTACTTTACTATGCTCATGAGAATTTGAGCGCTAGGATCATTGCTAAATTTAGACTAGTTTTGATTATCATTACTAAATTTAGACCAATACTCGACCATCATATCTAAATTTGGCAGTAAGAAAAATAATTTTTTAGCCAAAATCACGTGAAACCATTTTTTAAAAAAATTTATTGCATTTTTGAGCGAATCACGAAATTGCAATTTTTGAAATTTGAGCGCGTGGCGCAGCAATAGGAGGTCTTTAGACCGAGCCAACCATATTAATTTTAGAAGAATATCTGATAAATATCAACACTTTCAACATTTATTAATAGGCTTTTAGAATATATGATAAAAATACTAAGAATATTATTAACTTATTGATATGCCAATATCTTAATTATTTTTTTAAAGAATAATCAGATTCTGTATTCATTACCCAATTTGGCATCATTCAACCAATAAGGAGGGAACCAATAGTTTATATATAAGCAAAGAAAGATGGGACTCTAAATTAGCACAAAAGAATTTTAAATCATGCACAAACATAACAGCTTGATAGCTTAATTGACACAGTGGTGCAGTCTTGCAATTTTTTTAATGCATATTTTAAATACAATTAATCATATGTCTTTAATAAAACAAACATGACTTAGCTATTTAATCATTTCCTTCATTTCCTTGTATATTGCAGGACACCTAGTCCCTACAACTTTTATTAGTCTTGCAAATCCTTTAACTCCTCCAAAAATGGAAATGTGTGACCAAAAAAACAAGATGACATTTTGAAGCTAAGACCTTTTTCTACAAAATGACATTTTCATTTTGTTGATATGCCATGTTGTTGTGGAGGAATTAAGCCTTAAAGTTGCACAATTTTAACAAATTTACTATGTTAATCCCCCAAAGTGACGTGTTACACACAAATTTTTTATATTAAAAATGAATGAATTGGCAGAATTGAAAATTTTGAAATCTGTATTGCAGATCTTTTATCACGGGATACTAATAAAGAGAATGCAACATGACAAACCTATTTTAAAACACGTGACTGTAAAAATTTTATTGCATTTTTGATTGTGAATTTTTTCCCAAATCTGTTGCTGTGGCGCAGAAAGTTGTAGGGACTAGGTGTCCTGCACCATATGTGAATGCCTCCATCCATCAAATATTCATGATAGTCATGATTATTATTCAATACATTTGATATCATCATTAACATAACAAACAATTGCATCACCCAAGTAGTAATAATACCAAGGCTATGCAAAAATGAAACTTTTAATAATGTCTACCCAGATCTCTGGGATTCGCAAAATAAATTATTTTTCCTGATTATCAATTATGGATCCTTATGAATAATAAATCTGATGTTGATTTCAGGTGTCAGATTTAATTAAAATTTCCTATCACAAACATGCAAATACCCTCTATAACCATGGGATTTTTTCCTATGGGTAAAGTCCATCACATGCTGGAAGGCTTTGGACAAAACATTCCCTATCTCCCTCTCAGACCAGATTGGTTGTTACCATATGTGCATTGATTGCTGATAAGAGTTGACATTTGTGTGATGATTGCTTTGTGACATCCCAACCTGTAGAACAAAGTTGGTGTCTGCAACTCAGGAGATTGCAACTTGGGTTGTTGTTTTGGATTTTCCCTGAATTCAGAGTTTTGAGTCCTGAGTTAACAACCCTACCCCATTTAAATAACAAGTTCAGTTGGTCAAACAAAAATTAAAGAAAAACAGAGTATTTATGGGAATGTTTAATTTAAACAAAACATACCAAAATCCAAACCATTTTTCTTGTTGGCCATATTGCTGACAAAGATATATATAATCATGCAATAATTTTAATCTATACATACCCAAAATTATAAATTGATTAGTATCAAAAAAACAGAGCATTTGGGAAAATGATTATACAAACCTATTTTACAACTTTCCTCTTAACATCAGAGTCCAAATGCAATTTCAGAGCCATAAACCCTGCTCTGAATTGTAATTGGAATGAGTTGCAGATTCTCATTTCTTTGATGATCTGGATGTTTATGTGCACCTAATATCACAACTCTTCAAAATGCTGCAGAGTTGCAACTTGGACACAGTGTCAGCCTTACCCTAGAGTAGGATCATTGCAGGCGACTTTTCAGCTAGTGTGCCAGCAGCCTTCTCTGGTCTGGGAAGATTAGTGAAAACATCATTGATGATTGATGCAGTCTTGATAAACTCCAGGGCCAAACATCCCTCCCCGGGAATTTAACAGCATCATTGTATCATCGAGGGTGACTCGGTCAGATTAGCCTTATGTACATGAGGAATATGTGAGTATGACTGTAAAAGTAGCATGCATGCTTCAACATCTATAAAATTTCCAATAATCAAACATTGCATATTTGAAATGTCTCTTCTATAACAGTCAGTTATGCTGCCTTTACATCTTGTGATTGTAATATTATAATATTATTATTAATAATGATTATGAAAAGCAAAATACCAAACATTTTGATGAGATTCTTATACCCAGCAAGATCTGCTCCGCATTTTGATTTCAATTAAAATGTTTATAAACTAAATATATATATCAATACAAATAAAAAATAGTACCTAGTTAGTTATTAACATAACTTCTTTAGGAGATTCGCGTTTTGTCATCTTGGACTCTGTCAAAAAATAAATTGTTTCCAAGAAATAAAAAACCCAATTCGCGTCTGTCCCTCCTTCCCAAAAAAAAAATCACGTCAACAAAAAAAAACCAAATCTTTGTGCAACACCAAGTGTAGAAAAAAAATAAATAAAAAAATTATGATCCTCCTTATTGGCTGGAATGTATTAGTTATTGAGAGCGCATTTGGAAGACCAACTTCCAAATCTTCCAATGAAATACACACTGGCTAGATGTGCCACAAGAATCCAAACTTTTTTTCCATTCAACAAGATATTACTATAAATAATTTATAATAATAATAATAACTAGATAAATAAATATACTATGGCACTGAATAATAAAAGTAAATTTGTTTTTTGATTATTATTATTATTCAAAGAAAATTTAAGCACATAATTTTCACAAGGATAATGGATTCACCACCAACACCAACACCAATAAAACCACAAAACAAAATTAAAATAACAAACAACAAAAACAACAACGGTTATCAAGAAAAGAACAATTAAAAATTATTCCAACTTCTAAAGAAGATAATAATCAGAACAAATAATAATAGCCCGTCCCCCAGTTTTGTCAAAGAAGAAGTTCCGAGCATGGGAGAATTATGGAATATGTCAAAAAAAGAAGGAAAAAGCTTGAAAAAAAAAATATCAAAGTTAAACCACCAGAACAACAACAATACGTTACTAATGATAAGGATGTTAATAAATCATCTCTTGATGAATTAGCTAGTCTTGATTATGATGAAGAATTTCCAAGCGTGGAGGAATTACAAATAACTAGAGTTATTGGTGTTCATAGGACATGGGTAAATAATTGACTTTTTCTGTTTTCATTTAGGAGACATCATCAAAATGGATTCAATGATTTATTATTGGACGTTTTACTTATTTGTATTGTTTTTACTGGATTATGAAAGTATTGAAAATAATATAAAAATAAAAGGAGGTTTTTATTTTTGAGTATTATTTTGATAATTATGCAATAAACGAATTATTTACTCTGATAAACGCGTGCAAGTTTGACATTTTATTTTAATCATCTCGAGGAGTAACACATTGTGCAGCTGGCATTATGACAGGCTAATGTAAATTTTATAATCGTTGGGTGGCAACCCTTTGGTATATTAGTTGATATTATTTTTTCCAGCCGGTTGATCTAGTCCTTTAAAGAATGCGAACATCTGACAAATTGTCACCATCAAGCTTTTAAACAATGATGTGAGAATGGCCCTTGATCTTACTACAGCGATTCTTGAGGTTTGGAGTTGTTCTTCTTTTGATAATAATAATTCCTAATGAAAGATTCGTTACAACTAGATGAAGCAACATATGCTTAAATAGGGTTTTTATTTGTTTTATTCAAATAAACCTTAAATGTAATTCTAATACTCAAATTCACAACAAATAAAACGAATAATTCAAATGAACCTTATTCGAATAGAAACCCTAGTTCTAAATTGTTTCGAAATTAACCATCATTAAAAGTTTATCGGATGAAAATTCTTATTGATGATCCTTTTTGGGGAAATCCGCAGTTGTATTATTATTATCTAAGTAATACCCTCTCTAAAATGCACACTCATGAGTGATAGTAAGTAATATGTTCCCAATGGGGCACACTTGGAGAGCTGTATGTACAATTTTCAGTAAAAGGAAAAATATCCATTTCTATATATTGTGAGATCAAAATTCGCGTTTCACACAAATCTCTTGATTTTTATTTATGATGACATGCCGATACAATTTTCCCATTTATTTATACTAAATCATAATAACAATTTCCGCGAATGTATATTTATGCTTTACTCTCAAAACTATCTTTTGCTATAGTGCTCAAGCTATTTAATTATTTACAGGGCAAGTTTCTTTACTTCCCTTCCGGTAACGTTTTCTCAGCAGCTCTTTGTTATCTGCCTGAGCTGACACGTCTCTCACTAAAAGCACTAAAAGAAAAGAAAAGAAATAAAAAAAATAATAAAATTAATAGAGACAAATATAAAATAAGAGAAAATAATTATGCACGGGATCAGTAAATTCGTTGTTAGGGATAGATTTATTATCATTACGAAAATATAATGTTCAAAGTTAACAAGGACAAGGTTTATTTATAATAATATTTGAGTTTACTAAAAAACTAATAAACTTTGAGTTAATTAAAAACTAATAAACTAAAGATTACATGAAAGAGAAATTTACAACGTATTTATACATTTTAGAGGTTCTATCAAATTTCTTTAAAATCCTAAATTATACTAATTAATGTATTCTTTAATCATTATTTAAACCTTCCATGTAGAAGTAATTTCTAGTCAACATGAGTTATGTAAAATTCTTTCGTTTAAATATTATTCTGATACTTTGTAATTCGTTACATTTAGAATGTTGGAATATTTATTTCCGAGAGTCAATTATTTTATTGGTGTTTGAATAAATCAGATTTATATATCAGTTTCCCGTGATTTATAATTTACTATTTTACACTATGTAAAATTCGAATTTTACTATCATTTACTATTACTATAGATCTGCGGTGACTATTACATGTGGTCAAAATTATTAAATTGCGTCAGACGCAATTAAAATTCTAGAAAATTGAACATTGCGTCACCAATCATAAATTTGACGCGTTGACGCAAGACGCAATCCATGACGCAAGACTCGTGAGTGATATAAACTATCTGAAAATGATGTTTTCAAATCTTGCAAAAATGATAAAAATTACATTATTTATTTATTTGCAATAATTCTGTATATTTTATGAAATTAATTTAAAGTATAAACCTTTTTTTTGAGTTATCCACGATTTTCTACTTCACAACTTTAAAAGGTTATGGTCTAATTGAAAAACTTTTGTATGTATTATATTCATTATATAAAATATCCATAATTATAAGCAAATTAATATTTTTATTATATGAAGTTTTGTGCAATTCACAAAAA